ATTATTACTATTTTTCCCCTTGGTCCTTTATGCTTTGAGTGAAACCATCCAGTATTTTTCTTTTTCTTTCTGGCTTATTTCACTAAGCATTATCCTGTCCAGCTCCTTCAACGTTGCTGCAAAAGACATGAATTTATCTTTTTTGATTGTAGAGTAATCAACCACTGTGTATATGTACCACATCTTTTTAATCTAGTCATCTACGTTTGGGCATTTCAGTTGATTCCACATCTTTCCTATTGTAAATAAAGAGCAATAAACATGGGGGTGCAGGTGTCTTTTTGAATCAGTTTTTTTGTGTGTGTCTTTTGGGTAGATATCTAGACATGGGCTTGCTGGATCAAATGGGAGCTCCATTTTTAGAAGTTTGAGAAACTTCCAAACAGTTTCCAGAGTGGTTGTACTAGTTTGCATTCCCACCAGCAGTGCAGGAGAGTTCCTTTTTCTCCACATCCTTGCCAACAGTTGTTGTTGCTAGTTGGAAAACCACTGAGATTTTAAGCAGGCAGGCTGAGGCTGGCCAGCTTGGGGAGGAGGGACACCAGGCCAGGGTAGTCCTTGGCATAGTGATCTTGAATGTGCAGCATACAGGAGCAGAAAATGAGGCAGGGCCTATGGGAAATGAGCTCTTCTGTACAGGCTGCATTTCCAGCGAAAAGTAGACTAGTCCAAGGTATGAAGGGCTAGCAGAAAACACCAGGAGCAGAGAAGGGGACCAAGGAAGCAGGGTAGATGCCAGGCCCTGGTCAATGCCCAGGCATCAGATTCACACTTAGACCCAGCAGGGAAATTGGAGAGCTGAGCAAAGAAGTTAAAGTCAAAAGCCTGTTTTGACACTGAGCTGATATACTGGCTGCTCTTGATCTATGGCCCAGAATGAATCCAGCACACTTCCTACTGGTGAGATGGGACTGTACTCCCAAGGTTTTTCTATCCAGAATCCTATGGGCAGGAAGCAAGAGAGACACCCAGAAGGAAATGATCTAAATTTATTCATGTGACCCTTCCTTTCTTGAAAGTTTCAGGCTTCCTTTTTCAGTTGTATAGGACTTTAGTCAGCCAAAATACAGCAATACAAAGTGAACCAAAGTGTTAACAAGCTTTCCAGGGTCAAGAACCGCAGTGTTCTCTCTCATAGCCTAAGTTTCATGTGATCCTATTTGGGAAGTACAGTCAGTTAGGGCTTCAGAGACAATATGATAAAGTTGGTGGTAGCCCAGTGAGAGGTTAGACCAGAAATCAGAAACTAGACGGCGTGCCCTTTACGAAAGGGTAAAGGGAGGAAGCTGGGATGCAAATGTCAAAGCTTGCTCAAAGGGAATGCACCACCAGCGATGGAAAACTACTTTTCACACTGAAACCAAACCTGCTCAATCTTATCCTACGATTTTATTGAAACCCTCTAGAAGCAACTGGCATGTTTAAGATTTCCGCCTCCTAAATTAATTTCTGTTTAGATACCATTTACAACAACAACAAAAAAACTCATACAATAACTACATATATTTTTATCCATTCCACACATTTTATTAAATAAATAAGAACTTTATTTGTGTATTTACGTATAAACAACATCCTTAGTTTGTTCATTAAAAAAATACAACTTAATGTAATCAAAATGCTGAAAGGACTTGGCTAAGTGTTAACTATTTTTACCCATAATATGAAAATCTGACCTGCAAAAACCTGTTTTGCAATAGCTGTATTTGAGATATTTGTGGATTTCCATGAAAATGGACTCTTCAAAATATAAGACGTAACACAACATCTAGATCTGATATTAAAAATGATTTCACAACCCCAAGTTAGACTTCATAGAAGAAATTGCAGCAATATCTGCCCACTCTAAAAATTCTCCTGAGTATTTCTCTTTTTTTCAAAATCAAATAGGATAAGTAAATAACAGCAGTAACTCAAGGACTTTTATAAATAACAAAGCTACACTTTCACACCTATAAGCATATGTATTCACATTTCCCTGAGAGCTCAGCTTGCTTTGAGAGAGTGTGAGAGTGTGAGTGTGTGTGTGTGTGTGTGTGTTTCCTAAAGCCATTGAAAGCAGAATGTGATGGAAACTAAGAACATTTATTGGTGTTGCAACTTAGCTCCCTGCCCACTTCAGACACCCGTGCAGCTGTTCATTAACCTCCTCGACAGGTCCCATCCCATCAGAGTCTCTGGGCTTCACTGTCTCTAAACCCAAAGCATCAGAGGCCCAGCCAGGCAGCCAGCAGCCTGCAGCAAATGGGTCTGATGCCAATACTGCTTTCACTTGGACCTCACATCTAAGAAGTTGACCCTGGAAGCCACTTGCCTGGCACTGTTTTTTCTTATCTCTCTTTACCCTAACGAAATCATGTTCACAAACGCCAGGGCCCCTTATGACATTTCTCGTCCTAGGTCCTTAGAACTTCTCCTTCTCCTCTTTCGCTTCACTTCCTCTTCCTCCCACTATGAGGAGCTCTCTGCAGTCACAGGACTGTCTGGAGAGCCAGTCTGCTGTACCCAGAGGTCGCACAATGTCTTGTCTGAGTTCAAGCACTTGCTGCCTCCAACTCATTGGGTGTCAAACTGCCTCCTGTCCCTGCTGTTATGGGTTATAACAGCTTGCTGCAAGCTAGCTTTTTATTTGTTTATCTGGTCATGAAAATTAATTTGAAGAGCTTCCATCTGGGCTAGGGCCCAGAAGCTTAAATCCTGATGTTATCAAGTTTCCTAAAAATGTCTTGAACTTTTTTCTTTTCCTGAAAACTATAGACAACTTTAAGTACAGAATGCTGGACCTTCTTGGTAGGTATATCTACCTGCTAACTCATGCTGTTACTGAGATTTCCTATTTCTTAAGCATTAACTGAGATTTTCCCACAATTCACCTGGAAATCTGTTGCTAGAAACAGCATTTAGAAACCTTCCCTTGTCTTTATTTAGGTGCTCTAAATTTAGGGCTATAACACAGAGATCCTAAATTCCCACTCTCCCAGCATAAGGTTGATGTGCTGATGGGTTCAGAATCTGCTGACTGCTCTGACCAAGGACCCCCATGACAACACACTGATTTTGAGGATTCACTCTATGCATGCCCTGAATGCCATGTTTGCATTTCCTCTTTGGGAGTTATTTTCAGAAACCATCTTTGGAATACTACTGACTTCTCCTGTCGCTCATATATGGTTTCTCAAGATGATCTCAAAGAAAGAAGAGCATACTGTAAGCAATGACCACATCATTGAAAAGTGCCCAGCATCCCAAGGGGACCACTGGGAAGGGCAATATAGTACTGGTTCTGGCCTGGAAACTTCGGGCACATCTCATTTTCTTGATGAAAATAAAAATAATGATATTTACTAGGGGCCGATGACCCATATATCGAGTGTCTCCAGGGTAAGGTCTATTCGTTGGTGTCCCTAAGATTTGACAAATATAAAGAACTGCATAAATATTTGCTGAATTGTGTTAAAGTATTCCAATTGAGAGTTTCTTAACAGTCATTAGTGTTTATGCATCAGCAATGCATGTGTTCTAGATTTTCCACAAATACGTTTACATTTTTGCCCCTTCAGTTTCATAGTAGGCCACTAAACTGTCACACTGACCTTAAGGCACACAACTTTCACCCACAAATTAGCATTTCTACATATCTTCAATGATCTAAGCAGAAGTCTCACTTGTAATTGTCCAAGTCTTTTTTTAAAATTTGCTTTAAACTTTAGCTTTTCTAACCAAAGCTTTCTTATGAAAATTAAGTTCACTATCAACTCTAATACCTCTACCTTACCAAACTGCTGAGAAAGAGAACCATGGCATGACACACCTGACATGAGATACAGCTCTGTAAGGAGACTTGAAATCACATGATGAAAATAAAGCCCACTGGTTAATGCAGTTACTATGTTGTTACCATTGTTGTTGCTTTTTAAATACAGCCTAGGAAACAGGATCTCTTAATCTGCTTCCCCAATGTGGGTATTAGAATACATTTCCAGTGAGCTCACTGCAAAGCTCCTTCTCTCACGGTGAAGGACAAACTTAGTTCTTTGAGTAAAAATTGTGCCACCTGATCCAAAAACCAATTGGAAAACCTTTAAAAGACCCTAAAAGTAAAGATTCCAGGAGGTGGAGTATCAGGGACAAGGACCCAAATCACAGGCTAAAAAGTAGAGTCAGTCATTCTCACAGTGGCCTGCAGAATTACTATGTTTACATTTTTGTTTTAAACAGTGTTTTGAATATCTGGAAACCTCTTTTAGACATTGTAGCATAACTACTGGACATTGAGGCCAGGGTACTGGACAGTGCTGAAAGCACAATTCTGCCTGGCAATGACAATTCTAGTCCGAAATGGATCTCCTGGGTCATCAAAAATAGAAGTTTTTTATGGGTGTGAACAGAAGTCTCATCTCTTGCAAAACAAACAGGCTTCCAAGTCCAACTCTCCAGACCGGTCTCACAGAATGACAGCTTCTACATAGTTTTGCCATAGAACATCCAAGGTTCCACACTATGGATCCCATATGGCTTCAAATTAAAGGGGGGGGGGAGGGGAAGAAACACCTACTGAGTAAATCCTTCAAAGAACTTGCCATACAAAAATAAGCCAGCTGTTTGCCTTTTTTCCTGTCTTGAGGAAGAGAGCAAGGCAGAAAGGACCCTGATTCTGAAATCGAAAAACCTGGGTGTAGATTCCCAGTTTAAAATAATAGCCTGTCAGCAGGTCATTATGCCAGTGAAATGAATTGATATGCCAAAAAGCTTGCATAGGGCAGGTGTGTTTTGGTTAAATATCACTCTTCTTCCCTCCTGAGGTAGGTCACGAAAGCATCCTGGCTGGTCCCAAGTATCCCCAAAGTCTGACTTCCAAGCGACCCCCTCCCAAGGGTAAATCGCTGGGAATTTAAAACACAAGCTCAGTCTGCAGTCTGAAGTGGGGTGGGAGGGTGTGAAGTAGGAAGGTCTCCCGGACACTGCCCAGCTCCCCCACTGGCTGGCGCTGGGCTCCGGTGTCAGACGGACACGGCTCCTGGCACAATCCTCCGGATGTGTGTGTATGACTTCCTGATGGTGACGCTGCCATGGTGTGACACCCCCCGGGGCAGGACGCACTCCTCCGTCAGCTTTTGGGCCTCGGGGTCCCAGCACAACACAGTAGCGATGACCTCGTTTTTCTCGTCCCGGCCCCCGGTGATGTAGAGTCGGTTGTTGCAGGGCGCGATGCCGCAGCTGGCTCGCTCATGGCTGAGCTGGGTCACCAGGCACCAGGTGTCCTCCAGAGGCGTGTAGGCATACAGGGCCCTCATGGCCCCCCCTGGGAGGAAGGGAAAGACAGTGGGCATCTCGCTATTGTTCGGGTGTCTTCTTTGAACGGCTAAAATTCTCCTGCCCATTTGACTATCGTCCTACCCAGAGAAAATAGACTGACCACTGACCAGAAAGCCAATGTGGAGCACTCTGGCAGGAAGTGGTGGAGACACCTCACAGCCCCCTTTCAATTAGCCAGATGCTAATCGCAATCCAAAGGACACCTGGTTTACCACGGCTGCCCAAATGCACCCTAAGCCTGCTCCCTGGAAGAAACACCACCTGGTGCACCAGAGAGACTCAGCTCAGCACCGCACCTCTGATCTGCAACCCTAAGTGTGGATAGCAAGTGGTTAGAAGACATCAGAAGAACAGGGGTATAAAGCACACGGTGGAACACTGGTCACAGAAGTGGCGACACATGGCAGTGACTAGAAGTGGTGGCGCCTCTGTATCAGAGCATGACCTGGACGGACATAAACCCAGGACATCTGAAGCAAAGGAGAAATGGGGGTTTTCCTTAATCTTCCTTTACATTGTCTCCAGGAAGCATTCTCTGATTAATGCTCATTCTTAATTTCAGCATCCTTTAATCAGTAGTTTGCAATATGCAATCCCAGCTGCATATTAAAAACACTACGTCCTATTGGCCAGAACAGAGCATTCTGATTTAAGTGGCCTGAGTGAGGCCTACCTACATCTAGTTTTGTAAAAATCTCCCTACGTGATTCTAACAATAGTCAGGATTATAATTCAGCATCCTTAACATGTCATGTAGTGGGTTTGTTTGTTTGCAAGGTGGACGGGGAAAATTCCACAGAAAACAGATGTATTTTCCAATACGGGAATATCCCCTGCAGTAGAGAAGAAAAGAGGTCATTGTAGGTGTGGACAGCTCCGAAATCTGCATAAGGGGCACATTTCTGTAAGATTCTCAATTTTCAAGTTCATCTGCCCTTTCCAATTCAGATTTTCTGTAAACTAGAACTAAATCAGAGGTTTAAGTCTCCTTTCTAAATTCACATCACATCATGAAAGAGAACAAAACTGAGTGCCTAACAGTCCCAGAACCTCCTTTGAAAAGTACCAATACGATCTTGTTGCTAATTTCTGCTAAAATTGGACCGTCATAAACAAAAATAAATCAGTGCAAAAAATAAAAACATGTCAGCAGTGAGGAGTGAGCCACTAGTCACTAGAACTAGCAGTGACGAGTGAGGATTTTCTTCTAAAGGCAACTTTTCAGAGCCCTGAAAACAAGGGGTAAGTGTAAAATCACCATTAATACAAAATAATAAGTAACAATAGTTACTTATTATAATAAGTATAATTTATTGGGCACTCACTGTATACATTTCAATTTTTATCATTTACTAATGCTTACAACACTTCTTGGTTGCTGTAGAACTCTGGCTTCTCCCCTGGGCAGGTGTCAATCTGCTTTGTCTCAGAAGTGGAGGCTGATTCTGCATCCAGGACTGTGAGGAATACCGTGAAACCTGGAGCAGCCCTACCCACATCTTTCAGGAATTCCTCATTTTCAGGACAGCTTTGTCTGTTCCACCTTCAGGGCTACAAGGGTGGAGGACTTCAGAGAAACTATTTGTTTACTTACCAACGACATAGATGCGGTCACGGAAACTCACTGCATTGATGCATTTAGCCTCCACCGGCATGGGCGACTTCAAGTTCCACTTATTGGTTGAAGGGTCGTAACACTGGGTCTTGTCAGTGGCCAGTTTCCCATTGGGTCCTCCCCCAATCACATAGAGCTTCTTCTTGTGGCTTGTGGCTGCGAAGGAGCTGACGTGGGCGAGAAGGGGGGCAGCCTGCAGGAGGCACAGGCATCAAAAGGCATCAGTCATACACCCAGACGCCTGTACCAACAGGAATCAGGGGACACAGGCCTTTGCATACTTTGCCTGGAGTCACAAGATCTGTCACACTTGAGACAGACAGAAGATCAAAGCACACATCCCATCCTCCTCCAGCCTAGCCAGGTGCATGTTAGAGATTTCCAGCCTGTTTCCCCCAAGTCCAGCTCTCAGAGATAGAGGCGACATGGGAATAAATGTTCATACAGATGGAACCAGCCAATGTTGGAAGAAAGTGCTGTCTCAAGCATGCATATTCATATTCCTTCAAAAATATTTATTGAGTGCCTACTGTGTAGAGAGCATTATCCTTAGTGTTTATATCCAAGAAGGAAAAACTGGAGTGAGGGTTTCAGGTGGCCACAGGGGAGCACATGCCTCCATCTTGAGCAACATGCAGATGGTGTGATTCAGTCAGACTGTGCTTCTACCCTGTGAACCCCTGGGCACTAATGGGAACTCCTAAAAGCCTTTTAGCCACTAACATGAGCCCACTGGGTCATGGAGCAGCTCTATGTAAACAGTGTAAATAGTGCTGCAATGGACATACGGGTGCATGTGTCTTCTGTATTAACATTTTAGTGTCCTTTGGGTAGATCCTTAGGAGTGGAATTGCTGGGTCATATGGTAGCTCCATTTTTAGTAGTCTGAGGAACCTCCATAGAGCTTTCCATGGTGGTTGGACCCATTTGCATCCCCACCAGCAGTGTAGGAGAGTTCCTTTTTCTCTATATCCTGTCCGACATTTATTATTGCTAGTTTTTTTTAATGTGTGCCATTCTCACTGGTGTAAGGTAGGACTTGCAAACTGAGAAGCTGTTGGACACAGGCCCCAAAATGTGAAGCATTCTCTGGGCAGCTGTTTTCAAGATGACAGCTCTAGACTGCATGACCCGCTACCTTTGTTTGTGGCCGTGATAAACATGTTTTATATTCCCAAAAGCTGGAATGTGTCCTGATCTATGATCTAATATGGAGATATTACATCTAAAATTGTTTTATTTTATTGTGTAAGGACACAATAAAGGACAGTCTTGTCGTCTGTGGGCATAGTACCATACGGCAGCTCTCTGGAGCTTATCCATCTTGCGAACCTGAAGCCAGTGAACAGCAGCCCTTTGCCTTTTCCTGAGCGTGCTATGTACTGAGGCTGTTTGCTGAGGTCTTGTATGCTGCATGTAAAGGGCTTATGGCTAATAGGCTTATAAATAAGGGCTGACTTCTAAATGCTATCAAATGACTCTGGATTCAACAGACAATAATAGAGAGATCCCATGTGTCCACTGTGGAGAAGAAAAGGGCAGGTAGCATCTGTAGCAACAGTCTCTGGGCCAAAGTATGAACCAAGGTCAATGTCAAGCCTCTCCTCCAGAGCCCAGTTCTAGCCAGGGTAGGACAGGTGCCCATACAGAGCTTCCCCGCCTGGAAGAAGTCACTTCTGTGACCTGATCAGCAATCTGAAGCAGTGGCCCCTATGATGAGGGAACTCAGAGCCACTGAAAAGGGTCTCAGTGGAAGCAGAAAAGATCCTGAGGCCATGTACAGCTAACCCTAGAACAAAGGGGTAGGGGTCTTAATCCTGCAGTTAAAATTCCCATATGTTATAGTAGCCCAGCCATATATGTTAGTTCCACATGGGGGCATACAACCAATCCATCTTGGCAGTGGTAGAATTCATCAATGTGTTGCCCACACAGAGACAAAAAGTCCCTCTATGAGTGAACCCATGTAGTTCAAATCCCTGTTGTTAAAAGATCAATGGTACTTCCATGGGGGTAGACCTTTTTGAAAGCTTTGAAATAGTAATACATAGCATCTCACTGATGTCGTCTCCCTTACCTCTGACCAGCAGTTGTGGAAGGGGTCATATGTCTCCACATTGTTGATCCTCTGCAGGCCATCGAAACCTCCGATCACATACACCTTGCCTCCCAACACCACCATCTTATGCCTCCAGCGGCCTATGTTCAAATATTCAATTTGAATCCATTTGTTGATCGAAGAATTATATTTCCAGACATCATGCTGTGTTTCTTTGCCACCTACGAGCGATAAAGATTTCAGGGGATTTTTTTTTTATCTTTTACATTTATTTCCATACATAGATGTTAATATTTGGGCAATATTTGGTATAGCTCCCATAGTTCTCCCACCACTTAGCACCCATGCTCCAACACCAAAGTCCCTTGTGCTCTTTCCTCCCCTGTTTTGACACCTCTCCTTTCAGAATTTTTTTTTTTAAGATTTATTTATTTATTTGTACAGAACAGGGGTACAGGCCAGAGATGCGGAGGGTGAAAAGATTCACCAGGGACAGAGTGGGGAGCAGAATAGGCCAACTGATGAAGTACACTGCTGAGGGGAGCAGCGGGCGGGTCAGGAGAGGTCTGCCGTGCCATGTGGATCTCCTCCAGGGCAGGCAGGGATCGAACTCATGCGGAAGTGGCTTTAGCTTCTTAGTGCTGCGCTTTAACCCGCTGCTCCACCAGGGAGGGCCCTCCTTTCAGAGATTTAAGAACCTACCTGATGAACATATACAGCTTCATCCATAATTTCCCACACTTGCCCTCCCCCCCAGGACAGACAAAAGAAACAGTCTTGGGGCAATCTTGTCGACAGTGCAAACACAGGAGAACAGGGAGTGACAGTATAAGAAGGAAAATTACAAATAACATCCTGTCCTATGTCACCCTTATGCTGTGAGAGTGCAGAGGGCTTCAAGGAGATGGCATCCAAATCAACCCAGTAGGTGAGATAATAGGAGCTTGGACTCAGTGTTTTTGAAAAATGAGGGGAGGTGGACTCGTAAGGTCTTGGTGAGCAGACAAGTTAGAAAGCAGCATAAGTTCTAAGTTTGTTTATTTATTTAAACCTGGAAGAACATCAAGATATCTTGCAAAATTCTCTCGGTTCATATCTGATCATATTGGAAAATTGGGAAAATATACAGAAGAAATATAGTGAAAACACTACATGATATATATCTCAGTAACATCTTTAAAACTCATCCCCCAAAGCAAAGAAAGTGAAGTAAAATATAAACAGCTGGGACTACATCGAACTAAAAGGCTTGCTTCATTAGCAAAAGAGACATTAACCAAAACAAAGAGACACCCTACTGACTGGGAGCAAATTTTTGCACTCCATACAACTGATAAGGGACTGATCACAAAGATCTACAAAGAACTCACACAACTCAACAAAAACAAAGTAAATAATGCAGTCAAAAAAAGAAGAACTAAAAAGACACTTCTCCAAATAGGAAATGAAATGGCCAACAGGTATACGAAAAAATGTTCAACATCACTTATAATTTGGGAAATGCAAATCAAAATCACAGTGAGATGTCACCTTACACCAGTGAGAATAGCACATATTAAAAAAAACTAACAATAACAAATAATAGCAAAGATGTAGAGAAAAAGGAACTCTCCTACACTGTTGGTGGAAGTGCAAACTGGTCCAACCAAGAAGGAAAGCTGTGTGCAGGTTCCTCAAACTACTAAAAATGGAGCTACCATATGAGCCAGCAATTCCACTTCTAGGGATCTACTCAAAGGACACAAAAACAGTAACTCAAAAAAGACACCTGTGTTCATTGCAGCACTCTTTATAATAGGTAAGACATGCCAACAACTCAAATGTCCAAAAACATATGACTGAGTCAAGAAGATGTAGTATATATACACAGTGGATACTCTTCAGTAATCAACAATGATAAACTCATGCCATTAGCAGCAACATGGATGGAGATAGAAAGGATTGTGCTCAGAAAAATAAGTCAGAAGGAAAAACCAGGTAGTTTCATTTCTAGGAGGAATACAGGGGGATCAAATAAGGGATCAGGAAAAAAAATAAATAACAGGCAACTATGTATCCGTGATATCCTATGGGATAGGGGCGGGGGAAGGAGAGGAATCAAAACAGGGGTGGGAAGAGCACAGGGACTGTGGTGCACAAGTGACTTGGTGGAATTCCATGGGGCTACACCTGAGGAGAAAGCATACATTGTACCAAAATGGACAAGGATGTAAAATATACAAATAAAAATTTTAAATAAATATTGAAAAACTTCTAAGTGGGGTTTGCCCTACTTTAAGATAACTTTGTTTAAAAGAATGAGTTGCTTGCAGTAGATAATGTGAAAACAAGCTGATAACATCTGTTATTCATGGCAGCGCTCTAAGCAGAAAGTACATAATTCCATTAGGGAGAGACACTGACTTTGTTGGTGACTTTAATTGAATATTTTAATAGTTTTGTGTCTCACCAACTACTTAATGCAAAAGATACACTTTTCAGATTATAAATAGACACGAATGTGGCAGTGAGTATCACTAATGATTCTCCACATCTCAGGTTAGTACAGTGAAGCCCAGAAGCAAGACCAAGAACCTAGGTCAAGGGCCTGCTCATCTTGAATTTGTATAGGGGCTGCCAAGTGCCTGGCAAAACTGCCCTTGTTGACTTTCCCACACCCTACTCACAGAGGTTATTAAGAGGTGAGGTTTTTTTTGTTTGCTTTCTTTTGGTTTTGTTTTGTTGGGTTCTTTTGTTTGGTTTTATGATTATCACAGTTTGGTTCTCCCTGACTACTAGGGATACTGAGTTTCTTCCTCTACTGTGAATATTTTGCTCACATAGTTTAACCATTTTTTTCTTTTTTAGAGCGTCTACTTTTTCAAAACACTGTGATATTAATGCCATTTTAGGGACCATCAAAAGTAATAAAATAATTATAACCTTTCAAAGAAAGGTATGAAAATTATATTGAGTTTAGATTTAAATCCTGCCTGGTTTTTACCATTGTGTGACCTTGGAGTACATTCCATAACTTTTCTGTATCTGTTTTTTTTCATTGTAACCTGAAGATGGAAATCACCTACCTTATAGAGCTGATGTGCTACTAAAGTGTAAATTCATCTACGATGCTATAAAGATAGTGAGGAATATTAATTGAGTTTTTACTCTATGGCCAGGTACAATGCCATAGGTACTGGTCTCTAAATATTAATTGAGTTTTTACTCTATGGCCAGGTACAATGCCATAGGTACTGGTATTGAAAACCTTGTTGAGGTTTATGGAATTGAAGGATTAATGAGACAGGCATAAAGTAATTAAGAAAAAAACAGAAGTAAGAAATGAAAAAGAATGGATTATTACTGATTCATCTAAAATATGACTTAATAAACTTCAGGGGAGAAGTTGAGTTTAAGGGACAGGCAGACATTTTTATTCACTAAGTACTACTGGTGTCCAGCTCAGGGTCACTTTTCTTCTTCTTTTCCATGAAGAACTGGCCCTAACTGCCTGTCCCCCAGATCCTAGTGCATTACAGCTCATATGTTAGTTCTCACGCAGTAGTAATGTGCTCTCCAGGAAAAAAGACCTGATCTCCTGATCTCCACAGCCTGACCCAGTCAGAACAAGTCACTCCACTCAGTAAATTTAGGATGGTGGCCTAGCCTTCGCTCAGGAAGATACATGGGGCTCTGGAGGCTGCTTTAGTATCATGTGGCTGCTGCTTACCTGAGATGTAGACCTCATTTTTTAATGTCACACATGCAAATTCCACCCACTTCTTATTCTCCGTCTCCAGCTCGTGCTCTGTCATGGGAAGTTTGGCCACCTCCAGGCGACTGCGTCTCAGAGGGTCCAGGCAGGTCACCTCTGCCACAAAGCGCTCATCCTTCGTGCAGCCACCAATGATCATGAACACTTCGGACTGGAATTCGTGCATTCTGGGCTTGGTGCGCTCTGAGATGATCTGCAAAGCCAAAAGCAGTACAACAGGTAAGAGGACACAAGGTTGGAAGCCAGCATAGGGGGGCCTTTGCCCACTCTGCCACCGGATGATCTTGTGCCAGCACCTTCTTGAACCTCAGTTTTGTCATCTATCTAATGGGGATGTCTGTGGTAATTACTACAAGCTTGTTGTGAGGATTAACTGAGATCTTAAATGAAATGGGCCTTGCCTGGGGGCTGGTGCTTAATACATACTCAGTAACATTTGTCTTTTGGTGCTTTTGCTGTTTTTCTTTAAGAAATCCAAATCTTTTTACCATCAAATGCACTTTCCTGCCTCTCCCTTCCTGCCTGCTCTGAAGACCTGAGTCCTGGAATTTCATTTCTGGTCACCTCTTACACCCTTCTCCTCAGTTTCGATTTCTGAAAAATAGCCCAGACTTTGCTTTGATACTAAACTTTTGGAAGTGAAGTCTTCACAAAAGATGCATAAAGAACATTCAGAAACTTGGGAGAAAGGAACCAATAGGGACTGGGCTGTGGTCAGGGAGTTTAGGGGGCTGGGACCTTCCAGAACCTCAAATGAGCAAATATCCACACCATGGATATTTGAAATGAACTGAAAGTGCAGAGATTTGAATCAGATACATGAGAATTTATGCTGGTTCTCTTAGGCATGTGACCTTGGAGAAGTAACACAATCTCCAGATGTGCCTATAATTGTTTCATGTCATTGTTGTCTGAATTCATGAAACCATGACATAGAGGGATAAGCAGGGTATCTCAACAGTCATGCAGTAGAAGTCATATTGAGATTGTCATTCTCACTTTGCCCTTTTCCTGGTTCCACCCAGGCCCTGGGCTTGATGGGGAAGTTTCTATAGATGAGCAGATGGGAGTCAGAGAGGCAGCATCATTTTCTACCTCCAAGTGGCCACTTTCCTATAAAGTGAGGCCTGACATGAGGTACAGAATTGTGATGTTGTCCACAGATGTGACAAACAGGTTACAGTCGCAGTCGACCTCTCAAGCAGTGAATCCAAACATTGGTCATGAGTAATTAGACCAGACAACCCCTACATCTACTTTTCAAAAAAAGACCTTGTTCTTCTGCACCAAGGAGCCAAACACAGTCAATTTCCCATCCACAACTCCTGACTTTTTCTTTTACTTCACGGCAAGGCTCTCCTTTGGGGACCAGCAGGAAGACGTGGGGACACAGGTGTGATGAGAAGACCCTGAAGGCACTGGCAGTCAGAGGCTGGCAGGATTAGAGTGGGACGGGTGCTCCCAGGATGTGGAGGCTCTGTGGGAACACCACTGGCAGGTAGGATCTCAGCAATGAATTGCTCCCCTGTGATTTCCCCCCAGCTACCAGCCGTGATGGTCGCCCCACCTGCCCCTCCTCATAGCTAAGAGTAACCTCCAGCACCAATCTGATCTTCTTTCTGGGAAGATTTATGGTTGCACTAGAATGCATTCCAGTTCGGATAATCAGACCTTTGCTTCTCCCCTGAAAGCCCCACCTTATTCAAAGTGCCTGCTTCTACCTCAAAGTCTGCTGGTCAACAAGAGTCTGGCCTAGCCATCCTCTTTCTTCTGACCCCCTGGGATGGCATCCTGTTCCTGACCTGGTCTGTGGAAGACTCTGTTTCCACCAGGCCAGGAAATCATTGCATTTCTGCAACTGTTTGAATCTTCCCATTGCACACTGTCCCTAAATCATCACTGCCTGGTAGATTTTCTTCCTCTCCACGAAGCTTATTCTTGTCTTTATAAAGTTTTAAATAAAACATTTCTTAGGAATTGTTCACAAAAATCAGGTAGTGTAATCAGACATCTTGGTACACGTATTCATCAGATAAGCATTTACCAATCAGTTACCATATAGTAGGAACTATATGGTAGGAACTCTCCCAAGTCCTAGAGGTAAAAAGGCCAATAGGAACTATTCTCCACCCTAAAACTTTCCTAGGTTAGAATGTTTATAGATGAGGAATTCCATGGCAACCATGTAGTGGTCGGTGCTATGAGAGAGCAGTGTACCAGATGCTATGGGAATGAGAGAAAAAGTGATGCATGTACTTTTTGAGACAAGAAAGTGGAAAACTAGATGAAAAAGAGGAAAAAGCATTTGAACAGCACCTGCATTGACCTGGAGGCTAATAAGGAGCACTCCCACACTTTGGGGAATTACAAACAGTGCCGTGGGACTGTAGGAGAAGAGAGTCGCTGGAGATGACGCTAGTGAAGGAGGCAGAAGACGAAGTCTGGAGGCCAGGCCCCGGCTGCTTAGGTAGGAAGTGTGGGTTTGATCCTGAAAGTGGTGGGACCCAATAGGAGGGTTAATCCCAGGATGGAAACTATTAGGTGTGAGCTTTAGGTCATTCTGCTAATGAATTGGAAGGAGGCCACTGTGGAGGCAGAAAAGTGAGTTTTAAGGGATTTTCAGGAATTCAGGAAGGAAGTAGAAATTGTCTGTATCAGAGGAAGCCCAAGAGACTCAAGTTTCCCAGAAGGAGAAACTAGGCCTCTAGCAAACTCTTCCTGCATAGCTACCCACGAAAACTCTCGCCCAATGCAACTGGGTAGAGAAGGATGTGCCAAGTGTGGTGTTAATATTGTTACGGGGTACCCCAGTGTGAAATGGGCTGCCTGTCTGTGGGTCCTCACCCACGAGCTTAAAATTTAGTTGTACTGCGGACACACACAAACGGGTCAATAATGGGTTTATTTACAATAAGGGGAAAGGAAAAGGACCAACCCAAGGAAAGAGAGAGAGGTACAAGGTAACTAGAATATCGTATCAGCTTGGCTGACTTGGAGCTCTGGTAACAACTAACTAATAGACCCCAGTCACCATGTCCCGATAGAGCTTTTGCCCCAGAGAGAAAGAGTCATTGCCTCTCCTCTACAGCCGTTGAAAATCGCTCCCTATTTATCCCCCAAAGTCCCAGAATGCCTGCTTAGCTCTGTCCTTGAATCTTTGCAGTTCTCTCCTTGCTACTGCTGGGAGTTGTAGTTTCTAATCACTGGAGTAGGGGTTGAAGTCCAGAAAGCTGGAGTAGGGGGTGGAGTCCACAAAACTGCAGAGTTCCTTTAGGACATCCTTCCCCTGAATAATATGTCCAATATATCTTAGTAGCATCCTTAGGGACCCCTGACTGGAGGAGAGTCCCTAATAAATAGTAAGTGATCGGTAAATGCAGGATTTCCATATCCCAGCTAGTCCTCTCAATAGTTATCTAAAATGAAGTGTCATCCTCATTTTACAGATTAGAAATCCAAGGTTTCTAGAAGCTCCTGACTCAAACTAGCAATCTGCAGCAGCATCCTCTCCATGCCCTAGGGATTCGTGAACCAGCCTCACCAAAATGTCTGCAAGGCTTGCTATGCGTTCACTTGCTGGCTGACTGGTGCATCTCAACTCACCTCATTGCCAGAAAGATGATACATCCTGGCTTCCTGGAGCAGCGGGAACACCTCAGGGCACTGCCTGATGAGAGGATCTGCCTCCACGGTCTCCACAAAGTACCAGGGATCCAAAAGCGGCAAGCGCACATTCTCCAGGACATAGGGGAGCAGGCAGAGTCGCTCTGGCTGTTTGTGCCGGACCCAGCTCATCACCGTCTCAAACACCTGGGCCTCCTCCGTCACATACAGGTCATCACTCCTCAAGATGTGGTACAGAGTGTCCACAGGAAGTTCCAGGAAGTCCTCTGAGTTCAGAATCTGCACGAAGTTTTGGATGATGTAGCCCTGAACCTGTTTCTTTAGCCTCTCCAAGGAGTGTGTGTCTGCCAGTCTCAGTATTCCAACACAATTTTCTGGGTTCAAGGCTTCTGTGAGGAAGCTGGCACAAGCATCTACCATCCGCAGGAACTAAGAGAACAGACAGGCAGCAAATCAGGTCAGAAGAGGAGTCTGCCACCTGGAAGTTTATCAGGGAGCCCCGTGAGGCTCACCTAAATGATCAATGATAGAAACTAGCTTAATAAATAACATCCCTATTTTCAACAGCACAATGGTCATTAACAAAACATTGTAGAAAAATATTAAATGACTTGGAAAATGTTCAGTGGAGCTTAAAAATGTATTCACATGGCTCTCCCTGCACCTGCTGGCGCAGCGGGTTAAAGCACAGCACTAAGACGCTAAAGGTACTTCAGCATGAGTTCGATCCCTGCCCTAGAGGTGACCCACATGGCACCACAGACCTCTCCTGACCCGCCCACTGCTCCCCTCAGCAGTGTACTTCATCAGTCGGCCTGTTTTGCTCCCCATTCTGTCTCTGGTGAATCCTCTCACCGCTCCTGCACCTCTAGACTATACCCCAGTTCTGTATGCATAAATGAATAAATCTTTTTTAAAAAAATGAATTCACAGGATGTGGAGAAAAAGGAATTGCTGATGGGAATGCAAACTGATCCAACCTCCACGGAAAACTGTAGTGAACACTCAAATACTGAAAATGGAGCAACTGTATGACCCAGAAATTCCACCCCTAGAAATCTATCCAAAGGATGCAAAAATATTAATTCAAAAGGACCCCTTCACTCTAATGTTTATTGTAGCATTATTTACAATAGTTAAACTATGGAAACAACCTACTGATAAATGCCCCAAAACAGATGACTGGATCAAAAAGATGCAGTGTGTATGGATATATGTATGTGCATATATGTATATGTATGTATATATACACAATGGCAACTGAAAAAAATAAACTCATGCCATTTGCAGCAACATGGACGGAGCTGGGCGGGATAATGCTTGGTGAAATTAGTCAGAAAGAAAGAAAAATATCAGATGGCTTCACTTATAGGAGGAACACAGGAAAATCAAATGAGAGGTCAAAAAAAAAAAAAGACAAAACTAGCATGAAAACTATAAGTCACAGACATACAGCAGGGAAAGGGAGACATAGAGCCGAGGGATCAAAACAAAGGAAAGAGCACAAAAGACTATGATGATGTTCACAGGTGATTTGGTAGTGCGGATTACACCTGAGGGGAGAAATCAGACACTGTACAAAAATAGACAATGATGTAAAAAAAAAATCTATTTTTAAAGTTTTAAATAAATAAAATAAAAATCCATTCATGGAATCTGGTCCAGCCTCTAGATTTAATCAGCAACTTATAGGAACTATAAGGGAAACAGGAACCTGTCAAGTGATACCACAGGAGTACAATCAGCAAAATCCAGACTGTGGGAAACTTCACAGAACAACCAGTTCAGTTTCCTCAATAAGTACATCACAAGGGGAAAGGCGAGAGAAAGAAGGGGAAGGAGAGCTTAAGGAGAAAAAGCTATAAGAGATACATCAATTGACTGCAAAATATGAACCTTATTTGGATCCCTGATTTAAGTAAAATAATGACAAGAGTCAGAGAATGTTTAGAACAATTAATATTTGATGATACGAAGCAATTGTTAATGTTAAGTGCCATAATGGTGTCATGGGTATGTTTAAAGAAATATACAAGTTACATTATGTAAAAAAATATATAAATATGTAAACTAAACATTTACTTTTAGAAATATATACAGAAATGTTTATGGAGGAAATGAGAAAAGCATTTCACAAAATCTATACATACATTATGATCTTTTTCATAAAGAAAAAGAAAAATTATATATATTTTTAAAAGGTAAGCATAAAAAAAAAAAAAACCTGCAAGATTAACACTAAGGTATTCACAGTTGTTTTCTCACTGCATATCCAGAATCTTGGAACAAGTTATGCTGCAGTAACAAACAAGCCCTGAATCTCAGGGGCTTACAACAATAAATGCTTACTTCATACCCACATTATACCCTTCACAGTCCTCTTCACTCCAAGACCCAGGATAACAAAAGCCCATAACTGAGATATGCCATTTTTGTGACAAAGGAGGGAAAAGAAAATGACAGAATCACACAAACGCTCTTAAGGCTCGTGTTCAGAGGTGGCCTATGTCATTTCCATTCCTTAACTTTGAGGAATAAGCCTTCCTTATGACAAAACGTGTTGTGGAAAGAATAATAATCCTCCCATATATACAGGTCCTTTAGGAGTGGATGGAGAATATACTGTGCAAATAATATAAGGTACCACACTCTTTAATAAGACTACAAAATGTTTTGTTACTTTGTTTAGATACTTTTAAAACCTGTAAAAGGAATAAGCACTTTGTAATTACAAGTGAATATGTAAAATTAATAATGGGTTTCCAAATCTTACTTTTAAATCATGATCCCCCTTTTAAGTCTTATGAATCCCCCAATATGACATAGCACATTACAGCTTACAAAGCGCTGTCCTATCAATTATGGTGCTTGATATTTATTTTGAGGAAGAGGGTGTCTCAAATTTTCATTCTTATTGGTTGCCCTCTCTCTGGAGCTTAGGTTTGCAGGAGTTCAAGCTACTATCCCTCTTCTGGTCCACTGGATCCCTTACAGGGTAAAGTTTCAATGTGGCCTTGGGTTGGTCAATTTATGGAAGGAGAGAAAAAAGGAGGCTAAAGGCAGGATTTGGGGAAGACTCGTTTGAAGGCAGGGTCCAATGAGAGCAGAACAGATGTGAGGGGGGCACCCCACAAAGAGTGTCTCCAGTCACAAAAACCAGGGGGAGCAGAGTTATGGGGCCTGAAGTGTGTGAATGGGAGCAGGAATTATCTTAGGATGGATTAAGTTGACTTTCTCTGACTTTACTCCAGAATATCCTAGGGTCACACATTTGTACTTTGGGAGACAAATCCCAATTACAAATTTTTTTTTTCATATCAGACCACTCTTTCTAATAAGTTTCCAGAACACTGAGGGTCAATGCCGTGTTGGAGAAGGACTGATCTGTGCCTCAGGTGGCCGTGACTGCGGCCTCAACCGTCGTCAGATCTGCTCCTCGCTTGAGCAACCGTAGAGACGGTTGAGACTGAGAATTCTAACACCTGTTTAGTTGTTTGCAGATTTTCAGTTCGAAAGTAAAAATATACAACCGAGACCTCACTGGGCACGTGACTACAGCCCTCTGTGGCCAGCCCTGTAGGTACCTGTGAGGTTGAAGGCATTCCCGTAGGGTGGTGGCTTCCGTTGCAAAAGAGCAGGCACACCAAGCCAGCACTAGTGTAAAAAGAAGGTTTTTTCAAGCATGTATCTGTCTCTCGGAGTCACTTAAAAACTTGGTAGCAGCAGTTGCTTTTGAGAACAGATATCTGGTCACAGAGAGAAACACTTTTCACTGTTTGTCTTTTTGTGCCCTCTCAAATTGTGTGTCTTGGGGAAGAATTATTTAGTGAAATCAATGAAATTTCTTATGAACAGAGAAAACGCCATAAGGGCACACATCAAAATTGCAGTTTTATAAGTAAACGATCAATTTGGTTTTTAGGCTTTGCTGTAAAGATTGAGCTTTCTACCCTGAGTGTGAAGTTACTATGAAGATTAGAGAAAAATAATGTAACACTGTCTTGCAAAATACAAGTACCCGATAAAAAAATAAATAAATAAAATGTAAAAAATGAAATGAGGTTCTACTGTGCGCCCTATTAATTAGCTCATTCGTGCCTCATAACACTATAGATTTGGTGTTGATTATCATTCCTGTTTTAAAGATGAAGAAAACAGATGCAGAGAACTGAGCTAATTTTTTCAGAGACATCTAATAAGAGGAAGAGTTAAAATGTGTACCTGTCTTAACTGATTCCAAAAATGCATGTCTTCACACTTTTTCAAGCTGCCTCTGGTAAAATAGTGTGTGCTTGGGATAAGGACTTGGAAAAGGCCCGTATGATTGGCACACTTCACCAGATTGTTCAAACAGCCTGTCCACACAGACACGAGAAGACCTGCCCACCATATGCCCATATGTAGGTGCAATATGCCCTGCCCCTGCCTGATGACTACTGCTGAGCAAAGAAGGAAACCATGAAAGAGAATCAAGTACTGAAGTTCACATGGTTAGAAACATTGACCCAAATGTGTCTCTCCACTCAGAAACCATTTCTTAGCCATTCAACCACTTGTTCACTTTCAGAATATGTGCTGAGCAAAATACAAGCATATGAAGAAAAAAAAAAAAAAAAACAGTGGGGGAGGCAGACAGTCATCAGGTAATCACACCAAAACATAGAACTGCAGCTACAAAAATGCTATGTAACAAACTTCCATGATTCCACCCCTGAAAAACTGAAGAAAGCCCTACTCCAGCTCTCCAAACCATGCACAATCTGGCTCTAAGGACTGGATGCTTCCTGAGAGAAGCCTCCACAGCTAGACTTGTCTATTTGCCTTCTCCAAACACCCCCAAGTTAACCCATCATGAGTTTTTCTACGCTCATACCATTTCCCTCACTTTACCTAATTTTCTTCCTCATCACTAACTGTTGAAATCCTATTCTTCCAACCCAGCCACATTTTGGAGTCTCACTTTTTCAGAAAGGATTCCAGATAGCTCATACTGGTTTCCACTGAGATATCTCTCTTTAAGTTTACCTCAAAAGAAGGTAAACTTACGAAAAAAAGTGAATACCACAGCTATCACTTAATCTATACAGGGTTGTTCTCTTCACTCAGACTAGTCAATTCTGGAACCCATGGATGGGCTATGAACCCCTGTAACTGTATGCAAACATTCGTCTGCATGTGTGGCATCTTTCTGGGAGCTGAGCTTATGGGACATGCAATGAGTTACCCTCTGGCAGCCACACCGCCTCCCTCACCCCAGGATGATGCCAACACTGGAGAAGCGTAGACCTGATAGGCCAGAGAAAACAGAGCTGGACTCTTAATCAGACTGTGCTTTAGGCCTTCCATACTGCTGGACATTTTAAATTCTGAATCAAAACTTGTTTAAGAAAGAAATGGAAGTATAGGAAAGGGAGAAGAGAAGAAATCCT